GGCACATTTTGTAGAAAGATCTAGCTAGAGCCAAGTTGAAGACTCAAGTGGGAAGCTGAGAATGAACATACCAGGGTTTATTCTTCTCCTTAATGCTACTGAATGATTCCCACTCATACACCGGAGATCCAAAAATCTATAGTTCAATTGAAAAACAGTAAAACTCTGAGGAACGATCTAATCTTATTAGAATTTCTAAAAATAAATCCCACTTGATTGGAATTCATTCTAGCCCCTCTTTTCACTGTTACAGTCTACGCTGATGAATGGATTTTAGGCTGCTTAGAATTAAAACCCCGATTCCTAAAAGGAATGAATTGACTATTCTCCTTCTCTGTTACCAAATTTTCAACTATCTCCACGAAGGCTGCGAAACTTCCACCAACAGTTTCAGCTTCTAGAAGCCAGTGGAGCTAGTCCTCTTCATATTACTAACAATTTCAAATGGTCAAGGAAAATCAGGTGATCCGGACAGTTGAAATTGGTATAAAGATATATTGTAAGCTTGAGCTCTCTACGGGAATCTGAACTACTAACAGCCAAGGGAAATTAATGGGAGATAAGAGTCAAGGGAATTCAAGATGGGCTGGACTTAGATCTCTAAGTTGGGAATGAAGAGACTCATGATTGGCGACGTGTTTGACTCCTCCCTCAGGCTCAGCCTGGTTATCTCCTACATAAACCTGTCTTACAGTTATATTCTCTCTCTCTCTCTCTCTCTCTCTCTCTCTCTCTCTCTCTCTCTCTCTCTCTCTCTCCTCCCTCTCTCCCTCCCTCTCCCCCCTTTCTCTACCTCTCTCTGCTTTGTTTGATGTATTCAATTGGTGCAGAATGCAGCGGCATGCACAGTCCTGGAAACTTCTAGGGCTGCACATGTAACAGTTTTATTGCTTGATCTGCATTGGTTACCAGTTTGCTTCTGGATCCAATTCAAAGTGTTAGTTGTTATCTTTAAAGTCTTACATGGCAGGGGTCCAGGTTATCTGAGGAGCCGTCTTTTCCCAATGCGACAAGCCCTACCCACCCACGCCAGTGGAAGAGGCCTTCTATGGATCCCGCCTGCTAAGGAATTGAAGTAAGTGGGGTCAAGAAGAAGAGCCTTTTCTGCTGTGGCTCCATCCCTGTGGAATATTCTTACTACTGGAGGTGGGAACTGCTCCTCTTGGCCTTCCAGAAGAGTATCAAAACCTGGCGTTGCCACTTGGCTTGGGACCCCAAGGAGAGTGACCATCGCTGGAGGTGGCTGACCAGGTAAGAAGACCTCATCCCGATCCCTATCCATGCCCCATCACCTGAGGGCAGGACAAGAAGCAATGGGTGGAAACTAATCAAAGAGAGAAGCAACTTAGAACGAAGGAGACATTTCTTGATAGTGAGAACAATTAATCAGTGGAACAACTTGCCTTCAGAAGTTGTGGATGCTCCAACCATGGAAGTTTTTAAAAAGATGTTGGATAACCATCTGTCTGAAGTGGTGTAGGGTTTCATGCCTAGGCAGGGGGTTGGACTAGAAGACCTCCAAGGTCCCTTCCAACTCTGTTATTCTATTCTATTCTATTCTATTCTATTCTATTCTATTCTATTCTATTCTATCCTGTCTGTCTCTTAGCTTGCTTACTTTCGTTTTAGTACAGTATTTTTTTTTAGCATGATTCTAATTTGTGTAGTTTTTAATGTTTTAATTATTTTTTACTTATTTTATAACTTGTAAGCACCTTGTGCGGAGATGGGTGACATAAAGATAACTAACTAACTAAATAGTTTTTTCAGTAAATAAACTTCAAGCTCATCGTTTTCCCACCATAGGAAATTTGTTTCTGCTAAAGTAGATCCAATGTGATCCCAAAGGTACTTTTTTCAAGAGGCAACTGGACTTTCTTGTTGTTCTTTGAAGACATTTCACTTCTCATCCAAGGAACTTCTTCGGCTCTGACTGGAGGGTGGGGAATAGAAGGATTTATACTTCTTGCAGAGAGCTGGTCATTTGTGTCCTTTTTAGAGAGTCTTTGAGGGCACTTCAAGGCTTATCTGTGTCCTCAGGGTCACCTGAGTGGTGCCTGCATCTCAAACTGAAGCACAAATGGTTCCAGTACTCTGCAATTTTTCTGGAAATCTGTTCATACTCCCATACCATTTGAAAGGTGTTCATCCCAAACTGCATAGCCAAAAATCTATGGGGATTCTCAGTCATCCAGGTTGTGGTTGTCCCAAAGGTGATTTTTCAAGAGGCAACTGGACTGTCATGCCCTTGTTAGGAGGAACAGCCGACAGGGAGTGGAGGTGTGGCTTCAGAGGTTGTGGAGGAGGCTGGGGAAGGGCAGAGGCCAGCTGGGCAGTCAGAGGAAGAACCAGGCCCATCTCCTCTGCATCCTAGGACACGAAGGGAGGAACAGAGAAGGAAACAACTTGGCTTACGAGAGAGGAAGCGGCCATGATCCCCCTCATTGGTTGCAGCTGGGGAGAGATGGTTAAAACACAGCATTGCCAGAAAGAAAGTGTGTGTTATTTTGGGCTGAAGTTATTTTGGTTGGCATCCTTCCAACAAACTGTGCCTTGTTACCTCCTGGAAGTTGGTAATTACTTATCCTGGTCCGTTGTGGAAATTCCTTCATTATAGTTTGTTTTAGTTTTTTATTTCATGTCTATCTGCTCATTAAGTTCAGACTGTATTGCTTTCTTTTGAAGACTATTTTTGAATACATTTTATCTCCAACTGAGAATTATTGAACAGTTGGGTCAAGTTGGAGGCATTAAAGGACATTTATTTACGTTTTGGATTTTGTTATGTTTGTGTTACACTCCAGGTCATCACATAGACTTTCTGGTTTTTCTTTGAAGACATTTCACTTCTCATCCGAGAAACTTCTTCTAGCAGTTTTGGAACAACCATGACCTGGATGACCGAGAATCTCACATCTTCGATGTGATCATAATTATGACCATTGTATAAACGGGCATCCTACTGTAAGAAAACTATGAGTTAGTTGAGAAGTTGAAAATTACAAGTCATGTAGAAAATGGGGCATTGTTATTTTATCTTAAAGTATATTTAGTTTTCATATTATAACATGCCCGGGGCATTATCTATCCAAGAAAAGAGAATGTATTTGTAATTTTCTCAACTACTTTGCTTTTCCAGTTCGACTACCTTTTATTAAAACTAAAACTAAATGAATTCAGTGAAGTGTATATTTATGTAAGTTATTTTGCTGTGACTTGCCCTGAAACGGTGCTCATGCCCTCAAGGCTACAAATTTACTCCTCTGCATTTCTCAGCATTTTTTGCTCATTTTAAATGCTATCTCATAGTTCCATCATGTTTACACAATCGGTACACTTGAAACTTTATTGCAGGCATGTCAGTTATAACTAAATGTAGCAAAACAGATTGCTGTAGAATTATGAAAAATAATAGGCATTTTTAATCCAAGTTATTAGCATATACATTACCCATTTATCATGGGAACTATTCTATAAATGGTTAAATGACAGATAATGAGGTTAGAGGAGTGGAATTAGGTGAAATATGATTTATAGGAGAAAGAAAAACAAATGAGTAAATATTTCTGATGATTGATACTACAATGGAAGATAATATATGTTACAATATAATTGATGTTATTGCATATTAGTTTATATATTACTGCTTATTTGTTTATATGTATATATATAAATGATCATAATGACGACGATGACAGCAATAGCAATAGCACTTAGACTTATATATCGCTTTATAGTGCTTTACAGCCCTCTCTAAGCGGTTTACAGAATCAGCCTATTGCCCCCAACAATCTGGGTCCTCATTTTACCCACCTTGGAAGGATGGAAGGCTGAGTCAACCTTGAGCCTGGTGGGATTCGATCTGCCAAATTTCAGGCAGCTGGCAGGCAGCAGAAGTAGCCTTTAGTACTGCACTCTAACCACTGCTCCACAGAGGCTCAATCTATGTATTTATATAATGTATGATGTTTGTATTGTTTGTATGTTAACACTTTGGACACCTAAAGAGCACACTGCTCAACAAAGAAAGGAAATGTATGATATAAAACAATAAAAATATTTTTTAAAAATAATTAGAATTATTTTTTAATTTTAGTGTTTCCCTTGCTCCAGAGCACACCACTTTCCATTCCAATAAGAACCAGTGGGCATTTCTTATTCCAGTTTAAATTATAAAGCGACAACAGAAAGCAACTTAAAATGGAAATTTTTAATACCACCAGATCTTGGAAACATTCTCTGCACTGATCAAAATGGACAGGTTTTATGCAGGGAAACTTCAATCAAAGAGGATGGTTTTTTTTTTTTTCCCAAGAACATTAGAAAATAAAAATGAAAACCTTTCATCTGGAAGCATGCAAATCAATGATATTTGATAGAAATTCCACAAATACCATTTTATTAGAATGAAACAAAACAGAAATGGAGATTTTGCAATTGAAAAGTTCAGCTATCCCTAATCATCTCCACATTTCAATGGATCCTCGATGGAATGGTTGAATTGTGCTGCAGCAAGTTGTCCCATTCTGCTTTGGAGTACATTGCATTAGACTAACAAATTACCAATATCTGTTCCCCTCTTATTTGTGTACAGCAGAATCATTTCAATTCCCGTGGATAATATTAAAGATTAAAATCAACTCTCAAAGTAGCACCTTCACCACCGCTAACTAGAACATAACAAAAGTAGTCACCTTGGAAGCAAAAGAGAACTATGGTTTATTCAGTGCTTTGAATTTCAGAATAAGAAAACTCTGAACATATATTTTCATCACACAAAGGGGTTAAGCACAAACATTCCCCACCAGATTGAAATGGCGTATCAATGAAAAACTATCCCAATGTAACCCGTAGTTAATTTGTACATTTCTCGTGACCAGTACATTTCTTTGGCTCAGATGGTGAGTAAAGGATGCAGATTGACAGTCACACCGATCACAGAACGTTTCTGGATATTGGCCAGCAAAAATACCATTTTTTTTTTCTTCAAAAGTCCTTACCTTATCCTCCAGTCTAATCAGTCTGGCTCCCATTGTGTAGTAGCCTTTGTCTACCCCCTTTTCTAAAATAAAAAAAATAAAATAAAAGAGGATTTGTGCTTGAATTGCAACTAACTGGGAAATGCAGTAATGTGAAAGCTTATTGCTGATATTGTTACAGTTTGCATATTTTCTGTGAATAAAAAGGATATCCATATATATTGGAATATAAGCAAACAGCAATAGCACTTAGACTTATATACCACTTTACAGTGCTTTACAGCCCTCTCTAAGTGGTTTACAGAGTCAGCCTATTGCCCCCAACAATCTGGGTCCTCATTTTACCCACCTCGGAAGGATGGAAGGCTGAGTCAACCTTGAGTCTGGTGGGATATGAACTGCCAAATTGCAGGCAGGTGGCAGGCAGCAGAAGCAGCCTGCAGTGCTGCATTCTAACTACTGCGCCACCACGGTAGTCCTTGACTTGCAACTGTTCATTTAGTGCAGGGGTGGGCAAACCTTTTGGCTCGGGGGCCTCATTGACTTTTAAAATTTGACAGACGGGCCGCCACCTGGTGTCGAAATGCCTGTCATTATAAGTCAAAATCAAATGAATGCAATCATTCAATCATTTACATCAAACCTTAATTCTGTACCAATCTTCAGTGGGCCGGATTAAAAAGACCAACGGGCCGGATGTGGCCCGCGGGCCGTAGTTTGCCCACCCCTGATTTAGTGGCTGTTCAAAGTTACGGTGACGCTGAAAAAAGTGACTTATGGACGCTTTTCACATTTACCTCCCCAAGTCATGTGATCAAAATTTGGACGCTTGGCAACTAATTCATATTTAAAAGGGTTGCATTGTTCTGGGGTCATGTGATCCCCTGAAAAACGTGACTTGTGACCGTTTTTCACAGTTACGATTTTTGCAGCATCCCCGTGATCATGGGATCAAAATTCAGATGCTTGGCAACTGGTTCATATTTATGACCATTGCATGCGTTTCTAAGGTCATGTGATTTGCTTTTGAGGCCATGTTGCTAACTTAGCAACTGCAGTGGTTAACTTAACGGCTGTGGATAGGTGGTAAAATGGGGCAAAACTCAGTTAACAACTGTTTCACTCAGCAACAGAATTTTGGGGCTCAATTGTGGCCTTAAGTCGAGGACTATCTGTACAGAATCCTCGTGTTGGATTCCACCTCTAAGATCTCTATTAACAAGGTCTCTGGGAAAGATCTTGGGACACCGATGCCAGTGAGGATGGATTTAACCAACTACTTGTAGTAACTGGAACACATATCTTGAAGGGAGCTTGATTCGTCTCTATTCAAGATATGAGTTGCAACGACTACAGTAGTTGGTTTCATCTCTATTCAAGATTCATCCCCATTCAAGATATGAGTTTCCAAATGGCTTTCGGAAAAAATATATTGGAGGAAATAATAATATCCTATCAGAAGATGACCAAGTTCCTGCAGAATGTATACCTGTGCTGGAAGAAAGGCCTTGGACAAATAAGGAAGGGGAGAAGGAGAAGAGCATTTTGAAGATCCTGACATGGGACAGGGCAGAAGGGGGGAGCCCAGGGGTGGGATTCAGCTGGTTCAGACCGGTTTGGGTGAACCGGAGGTTAAATTTACATCTGGTTCACCGAACCAGTAGTTGAACCAACCGGCTAGCCCAGCCCACCCCTCCCCGCTCCTCCCAAGAGTCTCAACACGGCCCATTTGGGATGCAGGTAAGTGTAAGGTCTGTGAGGAGGCTCTGGGAGGGCGAAAAATGGGGTGAACCAGAAATTCCGGAATTCAGAAATGGGCCTGTTTCTGGCTTCTGGAGGCCCTCCGGAGCCTGGGGGAGGCCGTTTTCGCCCTCCCAGAGGCCTGAGGGAAGCCTCCGGATCCTGGGGAAGGCGAAAAACGGCCCTCCTGGAAGTTCCAGTAGGCCACGCCCACCATGGCCACACCCACCCAGCAACCAGGCAGCGAACTGGTTGCTGGGATTTTTGAATCCCACCCCTGGGGGAGCCAAGCATTATTTTCCAGTTTAACTTTTAATCTAAGACCAACTCCCCTTCCAAAAAACCCTCAATAGCCGATGTAACACTGAGTTCTCTACCTGGAAGAAACAGGCCGGGCTTTCCGAGGGAGTGGTCCAGCCTACAAAAGAAGAGAAGGGAGATTTTTAACTCAGCAGAGTTCAAATAGATTGGAGACTTTTTTTGAAAAAGAAAAGAAAAGACGTCAATCATATTCCAAGCGAGCTGACTCTGATCCAAGGGACAGATTTAATCTGAATTTCTTCCCCCAGATTATAATAACCAAGCAATTTTATTTGGCTGTGATCATGACTCTGTGACATTTGACTCTGGTCATACCGCTTTATAAGGCTGGAATACTTACTAATAAACATTTAATACAGCACAATTTCCAGGGGTAGGCTTCAAAAATTTGAGCAACAGGTTTTCTGCTTGGTTGCTGGGTGGGTGTGGCCATGCTAGGCGTGGGCTTCTGGAACTTCCAGGAGGCCCGTTTTTCGCCCTCCCAGGCTTCACAGGCTTTCCTCAAGCCTTTGGGAGGGTGAAAATGGCCTCCTCCGGGCTCTGGAGTCCCTTCCGAGGCTGAAAATGGGCACTTTTTCAGCCTTCCGGAACTTCCGTGGGGGTCATTTTTTGCTTTCCCTGAGCCTCGGTGCAGATCCTGTACTTACCTGGTATCCAAAACAGGCTGTGTGGGGACTCCTGAGAGGGGCGGGGTGGGGCCAGCCACGGGTGGGATTTGCGGGTTTGCTGAACTTTGCCAAATCCTAGCTAGAGGATTGTCTGAATGTGTGTGAAGCCGCAGCAGCCCACCCCTGACAATTTCTGACTAAAATGGTCCAACTGAGATCGGCATATGTGGCCTTGATTGGGGTAGATTGCAGGGATGATACAGAAATACAGTTTTATGTCATTTTATTCTACTTTACAAGTTTATGTATTACATTATTATATTTTATGCTGTAAGTATTGTATTTTACCCTACTCTCATTTTAAAAGGTTTGTTTAGAATTTTATTGGTGATATGCGTTTGAACCTCTATGTTGATAGGGCCTGTAGGCTAATCAATCCATAAATATATATTCTAGTAAAGAGACATGGGATCAGTTATTTCAATGGTTCCTGGTTCTGATGTGCCCACATTGTAACGCCTTGCCAGCTGGAAGGGAGATTCAAGAAACTTTTCCACTGTTGGGTCCCCCTTTCTTTTCTCGGCTTCTATTTTGGTACCAGAGTTAAATTCTCCACCACTTCTTTGGATGGAGAAGATGAAGCTACTGTGTTCTCGGTTATCCAGGATTAGATTAGATTAACAGGGTTGGAAGGGACCTTGTAGGTCATCTAGTCCAACCCCCCACCCAAGCAGGAGACCATTTCTGACAAACGGCAGTCCAATCTCTTCTTGAAAGTCTCAAGTGATGAAGCTCCCACAACTTCTGAAGGCAACTTCTGTTCCATGGATTGATTGTTCTGTCAGAAAGTTTCTCCTTATTTCCAGGTTAAATCTCTCCTTGTTCAGTTTCCATCCATTGTTCCTTGTCTGGCCTTTGGGTGCTTTGGAAAATAGCTTGACCCCCCACCTCTCTGTGGCAGCCCCTCAAATATTGGAACACTGCTATCATGTCTCCTCTGATCCTTCTCTTCACTAGAGATTTCCATGCCCTTCATTCTTAGCTTGGTCAAGGACAGGAGACCGTGACACCTGTAATCCCAAAAAACCATCAGAAGAATCCCAGGGGTTCTGTCAGTTCAATTCAATTATTATTAAGTGTTGTACTTTATGATTCTTGACTCTTGACGAATGTATCCAGAACAGGTCAGAACCTACTGAATGACACCTCTGCACAAGACCCTGAGGAAGTGGAATCTCTGTTGAGCCTTCCTGATCACCTGGATCATATTATTTTTCCAGGTGAGTTCTTCACTAAGATGGACTCCCAGGAATTTGAAAGAGGAGACCTTCTCCACACAGCATCCCCCTTGTCCTTGAATGGTGAATGTAACTAACCTTCTTTGGAGTTCTTTTATCCTAACCATCATATTGAGGTGCCCTTGAGAGTATTGTTCAATGACGTCACGGACGTCGTAAGGCTTCCGAGCTTGCTGGAAGGGGGCAAAAAAATGGGGAAAAAATAAAGCTTAAAAATGCACAAGGAAACGTATGACCTATTATTCCTCATGCATACGAACCACATAGCATATTCATATTACAGGTAGCCCTTCATTTACAACCATTCATTTAGTGACTATCCAAAATGACAACAGCACTGGAAAAAATGGATTATGACTGTTTTTCACATTTTGTTAAGTTGACTTTACTGTCTTGCACCTTGTACAACAGAATTAAAGGCCATCTTCAGTGTACATTGTAACTATAAAAATAAAACACAAACACACCTCCTTTGCATTCTGTACATTGAATCCAAAACCCCCAGATATTGCATTCATACTGCACTATACAGTAGAATTCAAATCCAATAAAGGAAACATAACAGTTTAAAAAAACCTAAAAGAAATAAGATGCAGGAGAAAGGAAGAAATATGTAAATGTGGTAAAAAGGGAATAAACATGAAATCATAATTGAGTAAATTAGGGATAAAGGTCAGATAAAGGTTCCCCTCACACATATGTGCTGGTCATTTCTGGTTCTAGAGGTCAGTACTCATCTCGGTTACAAAGCCAAACAGCCAGCGCTGTCCGAAGACGTCTCCGTGGTCATGTGGCCAGCATGACTAAACACCGAAGGCACATAGAACGCTGTTACCTTCCCACCAAAAGTGGTTCTTATTTTTCTACTTGCAGTTTTACCTGCTTTCGAACTGCTAGGTTGGCAGAAGCTGGGACAAGTAACGGGAGCTCACTCCGTTATGTGGCGCTAGGGATTCGAACCTCCAAACTGCCGACCTTTCTGATCAACAAGCTCAATGTCTTAGCCACCGAGCCACCGCAATAAAAGAAGGAGGAATGTCCTCAGGAATGTCCTCGGTCCCTTTCTCAGGGGTGGGCTTCAAAAACTTTAGCAATGGGTTCTCTGCCCAGTTGCTGGGTGGGTGTGGCCATGGTGGGCGTGGCCTAGTCAGCCTCCTGAATCACAGTGGAGGGAGGCGATTTTGCCTTCCCTGGACTCCGGAGGCTTTCCTTGAGCCTCTGGGACGGCGAAAACAGACTCCCCAGGCTCCAAAGGCTCTCTGGAAGCTGGAAACAGGCCCATTTCCGGCCTTCCTGAACTTCCGTGAGGCCCGTTTTTAACCCTCCCCGAACCTCCGTGTATGCCCTGCACTTACCTGCAACCAAAATTGGCCACGTGGGGACTCCTGGGAGGGGAGAGGAAGGGAGGGGTGGGTGGGGCCAGCCAGGAGTGGGATTTGGGGGTTCTCCAAACTGCACAGAATCTTAGCTAGGGGCTCTCCCGAACCCCTGCAAGCCCCCAGCAGCCCAGACCTGCCTCTTCTACACTGTGCTGAAGCCCATAAGAAAACAAGTGGCCTATTGCTGAATTTCATGATTGTTCACCACATTTTTGAGGTGGAACAGAAGAAATCTTGGTGCGCATTTTTTTTCCCAAGGGGGAAGGGGGAAAAAATTGGCTCTCCTCCTTCCAAGTGATGTCACTGCATTGCCATCCAAGGCCCTGTTGGGGCTGCAAACAAAGAATTAAAAGTGTGAAACTCTAGAGAGGAATAACCATTTCCATCCCTGGCTTAGAGGCAAGAGGACCATATTTTCCCCAGGACATCAAGAAATCCCTGGGAGAGGTGGGGAAACAACGACCGATCAGCATTCAGGCAGATGCCTCATTATCCAAAGAGAAGTTTTTAAATAATAATAATAATACTCTTTTAGTATTTAGCACGTATTAAACACGTCTCAGATGATGACCAACTTGCAAGACTTTTCAAAGTAAAGAAATAAAACGAAAGATTCTCCATCTGTACAGGATTTGGGACAGCCCAACATGGAAGCAAACAAGATTGCCAGGGGTGATGGGACGCAAAACAGTTTTAAATACAAAACTCTTAATTTTCATCTGCTTCAATCAGACGGGCATTGTGGCGCAGACTTCCAGAGCCAATGGGGTTGCCTGAGATGGAGCACTAAAATAAAAAAAGCAGAAGAAAAAGAGAGGCAAAATTAAACCTGGTAAATTTCCATGACAATGCTACTATCAATGGAGTAAACACAGGGAAGACATGGTGAGCAGGAGGATGAACCCGGATCTTTTGGTGGTTGGGAATCTGCATAAGCTCAGTAGGGAATCTGGGGCGAGTTAGGTCTCCTTTCTTGGCTAGGGTTCAAGAGAGAAGAAAAAAAGGGGGTGGGGTGGGGAGGAGGGAGAAGGTACCCTGGAAAACTGAGTAATTGAAAAATAACTAACAACGGGCTCATTAGCCGGCTTGTTTGTTTCCATTCTGCCGGAGACTTGGCTAACTATTAGCATGCATTAAGCACCTCCAGTGTGGGATGGAACGATGCTTGGAGCTCAGCCATGGGATCCTAGAAATGGTAGATGAAAGGAGAGGGGAGGAAAAACAAATCAGGAGAAAAAGAAAGAAAGAAGGAAAGGAAACAAAGAAAGAAAGGAAGGAAACAAAGAAAGAAAGAAAGGAAAGAAAGAAAGAAAGAAAGAAAGAAAGAAAGAAAGAAAGGAAGGAAGGAAGGAAGGAAGGAAGGAAGGAAGGAAGGAAGGAAGGAAGGAAGGAAGGAAGGAAGGAAAGAAAGAATGAAAGAAGGAAGGAAGGAAGGAAGGAAGGAAGGAAGGAAGGAAGGAAGGAAGGAAGGAAAGAAAGAATGAAAGAAGGAAGGAAGGAAGGAAGGAAGGAAGGAAGGAAGGAAGGAA